AAGCGCAAAAATAAATCTCTTTTCTGATTTATTGACACTGATAAGCATCTTTTTCTATGACCAATACACATTTTCTAAATATAAATATTATTCATAAATGACACTAATTAATCGTGTGTGATAAGCATCTACTTTCACGCGTTCTCTGCCCACGGGTGTAATAATACGCGGCTGATGCAACACACATAACGCAATACACTAATTGATTACGTCAAACGCCTCTACGCCTTTGCCTTCCAAACTCAAACTCTCTCATATCTCCCCTACTGTTAGCTTTCTTCATTGACCTCAAATGCAGTGTTTGAAAATCCAACACAGAATACTTCTTTTGATCTATCAGTGTAAAATATTTGCATGGTATTTTGATTTTTGAAAATGTAACATTTTCATTAATCCGGATGTAACATTGTTACAATTAGTTCAAATGCCACTAAAGTAAAATGTACATGTACATTGTAGTCATCTATTTAACGAACCAAACTGATATCCCTAGTTGTCTCTTTTTCTTTAGCAGCTTACTTTCCATTGATTTCATTCAGTTTTTAATGTCGTATGCCGAGTTTTTTCCTTTTTATGTTGTTATTTCTTTCTTTTCAATATTTTTATATCTCATTTTGTCTTTAAGTTAAAAGATTCCAATATTTCAATCTTAACTGATTTACATAAACCTTTTTATAAAAGACACTGTCATCCATCTTCCTTTCAACGTTTCTTAAAAAGCAATAACCAAACGTTCCATGAAAATAGTCAAATTCTAGAGATGACTTTAAAGGCTGAAGCATTGCATCAATTGCTCCTTATTGAATATTAAACAAATAACAAAAAGAAATAGTCGAGAAAATGTATCATCATAACTCGTTTTACTTAACATTTTCACTTCTATTTATTATTTTAAATACAGAAGGTATTTGCATGCAAAACAAAGTTTGCAAATTATTTGGATGCTAAAGTTTTATACATTTGTAGAATAGACGACCATCTTTTTTATAGACAGTCCATATACGAAGAAAATTGTTCTTTCGTTCTGATATTAACAGTTTTTACGAAAAGTTCAGTGTCACCAAATATAAAAGAGATCTCTAGTTGATTATCCTTTTCCGATCTGCCATTTGCATGGTCTACTACTACCGTTCCCATGTATTTGCAACCGATGTCTGTTGTGTATTCAGGATCCATTTCTTCTGTACAATATACAATAACTGACGACCTGTCAGGAGCAACTGGTGTGAATGGACCTTTAGAAATTACTTTGCCGATTTTTACCTCTTCTCCAGCTCGAATCATAATCCAGAATACATCATCAGCATGTTTTTGACCATTTATGAATTTTACTTTGGCATTTTTATGTTTCCTCTCGACAAAATCTTCAACGACAGACAGTCCATACGTGTGGGTCATTATTCTCGAACGTACAATATTCTGAAAATGTCCAAACCGTACTGCACCTTTTAGAACGACAAGGCCTGTTTCTTCTGGGATAATGACTCTCTTGTGCTGTAATTCTTTCTGTATTAAGTCTTGTGCTAATTTACACTCGCTAAACCCACCAACTAAAAGGATTGTTTCGACTTTTTGCATATTTGGTTTTGCAAGAATCTGTTGCACATGTTCAATCATGCTATCGATCGGGGACTCAAACAACTTTTTAATGACGGAAGCTTCAACTCTCAATTTGTCGCCGGTAAATGTTACCCTATCTGACAATCTCAACTTTGCAAGTTTCTTCTCTAATGATTGTTTGTTTCCCTTCTGATAGAGCTCTTTTAGTGATGCAGACAGCCTGAATGTTATCATACCATTTGATTCGGGTTTAATGCTTCTCTTTTTTATTTCGAATTCTCTAAGCAATTGAAAGTAGTCTTCCATTTGTTCGTCTTTAAATCTCTGAATAGTGTTTTTCCCAAATATATTGGTCAGGAATTCTAGATAATTGTCGTCAACAACTGTTCCTCCCCATGGACCACCGCTTGCTTTGTGGAGTTCCTTTAATGTGTTATCGATTTGTTTCTCATGCACAGATATATCTGCAGTACCTCCTGAAAATAATCCATATAAGCTAAAGCATTCAAATGTCATGTTTGTTTTTTGTTTTTTGTTTTTTTTTTAAAAACAACATTCTATTTTTATGGAATGTCATATATTTCGTATGACATACACTTATTATTAAATTACTTAAAATTTGCATGAGAAGAACATATTTTAGAAACAATAAGTTATTGTAAAGAATGTTTTCAAATGAATATACAACCATCTTCTAGGAACTTAAAATATTTTAATTTTGAAAGTATTATCATATTATTTTGGCTAAATTCTTTTGTGTTATTTATTCTATGCAAAGGTCTTGATTTTCTATAACAAGTGTTATTCATTGATTTCTTTCTGCTTTATGTGATAAAATATTTGCTAAAATATCATTAAATCATAATTTCTAATTAAATCAATTATTTTGGTTCAGTTGAGCTGCCGGTTTAACGCATGAGTTGTCAACATGTAACCAATTGTCTTAAGTATCTTAACGATGTGTAATTTGATTATAAAACAATACAATACATAGAAATCATACAGACTGTTACAAGGATGGTTTCAATTAATTTCGTAAGAACATTGTATTCATCGCCATGGAGTATAATTAATTGATATTTCAACATTACTTGACTAACCTCCGAGATCGATCACCATGTATTGTCTCCCTGCTTTAGACCATGTCTCCTGGACATCTGTAGTAATTGTCTGACACCAAATAGATGCTGCTTCTGGTTCAAAAGACAGTTTTAGGTGTGCTTTTTCTATGCCAGCCTTTTAATAAAACATATCGATTTGACATAAAATGCAAACAGGAATTCATTTGAGTGAAACTATTAAACAATAGTTTTAATAAGTAATTATGCTGGATGAAGACAGTATAATAACATTTTTTAACTTGGTTTATCTTAGCCAACAGAACAATTTTAAGCGAAAGAAATGAGGATCAATGAGCTTGTTTTCGAGTCATTTGCCTTTGAATTTGCATTGATTAATATCTTACATCATTTCAAGGGCCGATTGCTTATACATAAATCTGACAAATCTTATGTTTACAAATAATTTGTGTAATTCATTTTTATCCTTGATCACCATACATTACGCGTACAATTTCATTAAACATGTGTGTTTCTTTTCAGTAATATCATTATTTAGATTAAAAGGAAACATACGGACCCTATTATGTTCCAGTTTTTGAACGTTTGCACACTGACTTAAAAGGAAGTCAATTGAATGGAAAGAGAAATATATCAAATTTACCTATTGTATTCAAAGAAGTAGTTACCTTTTCTGCTGCTTCACGCATAAACTGCTTTGCATTATCATTCCATATGGCAGGTACAGTAATAACATATTGTATATCTTTGTCCTCAATCCCAGTCTTTTGTTTGTTAAGTGCATCAGTGAAATGTTCTTTTAGAAACTTTATGGACATTGTAAAAATTGTCAATGCTGGCATTGATTTTCCGTTTATATCTTCAACAGTGGTCGATCTTGACAGATTCTAGACACAAAAGATTATTAGACACAAAGATTATTACCATGTCATAATCGTAATTTTTATTATTGTCATTTATATATTATTATCGTCTTCATAACGTTTATAACGTTTACCATAATTATCTTTACGGCTGTTAGATATTTTTGTTGACAGTTGACACTACGACGTTCAATAAAATTATTGATTTTCAATTCAAATCTTGTTGGCACATTGTTTCAAATTTCTGGAATGTAGCCATAGTTTTTGTTTGTTTGTATTTGGTTAGGTTTCAAGTCGCACCAAGAAAGTATAGGTCATATGGCGACTTTCTTGCTTTATTGTTGGAGGATAACCTTCCTTGCATTATTTCAGGCAAGAACGGCACCTAAAAAGGACCACCAACGTTCCATAGGCTAGCTGGATAGCTTCCTCACACAGCAGTTTCGATTGAAACCAACAGGCATGTTGTTTACAGTCAACGACCTTAATTACTCGGCCACGAACGCCTTACAATAGTTGTAATAATAAAGAAAATCGTAACTGTATCATTGTAAAACGTGTACAATTTTTATAATACAAATACAATAGTGTAATCAACATGCTCAGCCTCCAGTCTGAAAGTTTATAAGGACAAAAATTATAAAAACTTTTAAGTTTTGAAAACAAAACATAAGTTTGAACTATTCACAACACTTTTGCCTTCTTAGATTTATTTTCTGTATTAGTCTTATTTATTAAATGTTATACGTATATACGTACATGTACGATTTTTTATTTAATTGAACACGGAAAGTGCTGGTGTATATATCAGTACTCAAGTAAACACCTCATATGAAACTCCGATTAGCAAATGTTTATCAAGAGAAACAATGGGTCATATTTTATAACGATCGTTATTTAATATTAAGTTTTAAGCACCTTTTTTATCAAATTTACCTCATTGCTGTGAAGAATCATTTTAAATCTTCGAAACAATAGCCAGCCATGGTGTTTATTGTCTTCTGCAAGTGTAGCAAAGTTATTTTCAGCTTCAAACCCAAACGAGTCGAATTGCCCACTTGAATTGAGTAGAACACACGTTGGTGTTTTTAGTGAGATAAGCTGATCGCTTCCAGCTATCCATCCTTGGTTAGTCTGGACTTTCAACGGGTCATTCCTGAACGAGAAAGCGTAGCCACTGTATGTTGTACCAAAGTCAAACGCAACCGCAAGCAATGCGGAACCTGCCATTTTTGAATCACTGAAAAGAGATTGCAAAGTGCTTGAACAAATATCCAATAAATATGGTTGTTTACAAAATAAAATATGTATCTCTAAAATTAAATTTAAATCAGTTAATTTAACTAATTAACAAATGAAACGACAAATAGTTTGTTCATAAATGATAGTATAGAATATCATGTCTCAATTGTTAATATCTATTTGATATACTTCATCTAGAGCAATTTGTAGTTGCTTGATAGATTGTTTGGTAGATGATTGAAACTAAGAGTGAACAAATAAAATTCAGCCCAACATGCTTAGTTTTGAAAAGTATTTAAAGCCTTAAATAGGATATTTAAGTTGTGAAGTATTATAATATGGCAAAATGCTCAACAATTTTAAAATCGTTGTAAAATAATGATATGTGTTTATCAGATCAGACCACATTCTGATTGAAAAAGACTTTAGAAAGGCATTAAAACTTTGGATATATAAATAAAACAAATTACCAAGGAATACTATAAACATTAGGGCTTGATTTCTAAATAGCGTTTTCTTATTTCATGTTTCAAAAAATAGTGACTGTAATCATTGTAGCTATATTATCACCAAGCACTATAATTTTATGACCGAAGGAACCGTGTACCGAAATTTTGCTGCTTCTTTAACGATTTTTTATTATTAAAACTTATCCGGAGCCGGTAGTTGCTGCAAATTGACCCCTCGCATGCTTCTGTATAAAGAAGCAAACTGGTATTCCTTGTTGTCTCTTTTTCTTTAGAATCACATTTTCCATTGTTTCTTTCTGTTTTTATTTGAGATAAGCCAAGTTTTGTCTTTTTTATGTTGTTATCCTTTTCTTTACATTTTTATATAAGATTTTGTCATTTTTTTCTTATATATTATACTATATTTAAAACTATCAATTTATATTATACTATATTTAAAACTATCAACTTGTATTTAAATCACCTTTTTATAATGAACCCTATGATTCATCTTACTATAACAAGAATTACTTATACGAATTACACCTCAAACGTTCCTTGAAAATAGTCAAATTATACTTCCTTGTTTGGTATAATTTAAATGTAACCTGATAATATTCACCTTTCACGCGATGAATAGTGAAAACGATCCATTATAAATAACTGAGTGAAATTAATAGCTTTAGTTAATTAGTATAGCATTATTTCATTCGATTTAATTTAATGTCATAATGAAAAATATAAGTATACACGAATATACTTCCTATTTCGTTTTCAAAAATACATAAACAGTCACGGAATTTCTCAATTCGTTTATCTCACGACAGAAAAAAGTACCGGTTAAAAAATAGAAATAATTTGCAGAAAACAAAAACTTAATTTCAGTGTTATATTCTTAAATAAACATCCAATGTCATAGTTTACCTGCGTTTGTTTAATTTACTTCCTTTCAGAGAATCTTGTTTTTAGGAAACTTCTTCCGATTGCTTTTGATTTCATCGTTAAGTTATGCTTTTGTGAACATACCTATTATGAATCCAAAGCGTTTCACATGGATTATTTGTACGAATGCACATTTAACGGTAGTTAAAGTGAATGGATGGGAATGAATACAATTGATAATTATATATATTATATGGAATGAACACTGGAAGAGAAAAGGGCTGCGACATCGAGAAGAGATTGCGTGTCGTAAATGACAATGAAAATATTCCGAACGTGCTTTAATGAACGAGACAATAGGGTATGTAAGTCTCGTCATGTGACTTGCGAGATTTCACGATATTTTGCACTTCCGGGTACAAACAAATATCAACAACATTGCTTATCTATATTGGGTAATACTTGTATGCCGGTATTAAAGTAAAACTTACACGGAAAAGCAAAGGATATGTGGAAATTGGCAGAATTTTTTTGTTTTTAACGAAATGCAAATAGTTTCAAGTAACAAGTGAACAAGTATCAATGAAAGACAACTTCGTATAATCTTCTGGTGGGTGTGTCATTTCGAATTCAGTTTATCGCAATAAATGTTGTAATATTTTTATGTCCATGTAAATCTAATAGATTTGTTATTTGATACATCATCATTCGCATCTAACTTTAGACTTGTGAATTTGATTTTATCAATTTTCTATAGCGCTACCTGATTATCTGTCAGAAGTATATAATGTTTAGAAATTTCGGACAGGGCATATTTCGGATAAAACGTTTCAATATCATTATTTGTGTGTTTTAGTTGAATATATTTTCTTCTAACTAAAAATATTATTTATTATTATTATTATCTTTATATAGCACAAACAGTCAAGCTGTATATTACCAATTCTTAATAAATTGTCATAAAATTTAATGAAAAATTTTGCTCCTGTAGATATTTAGACTGAGGAAAGTGTAGAGATGAAAGACGTCAACTGGTATCCGATGTAAACACACATGCATGCTCTGCTGTAAAATCGTTTTGGTAAGAAATATATACTTAAAGCTACTTCAACTACATTAATGAAAAATAAATATTCTTGTATAACATAATGTTCTCGTTTTTGTAAATAATTACAGTGTAGCTAAATAAACAAACAGTTTGGCATACGTAGTTAATTCATGTTAAATACTGTTTAAAGTATATTTCTCAAGTAAGTGGGTCATATATTTTAGTTAAATCATGTTCAGTAAATGGTTAAAAGAACTAAATCACTATCACATTTTTTCGTTTCTTCCTTTTCAACATTTTTTTCTATTCAAAACAAGATGAAATGGTTAAAATTTATAGCTGACCAATTATTATTGCTTTCAACTCATGATAAATTTTCTTTGTATGCAGGTATATGATTTCATGGTTGGAGTCATGGCTCTTGATTTATTTTGGAGTGTTCACCGTCAGATTAGAAACCAAATAGTGATACCACCAGACATAGTTGAAAGAAAATGTCCATACACAGTCTTGGAGTACATAGTGGTAGAGACATTGCCATTACAGATTTTGACTGAATTAAAGCTTCTTAAAGCTCCATGTCTTGTGTAAACTGTCTGACTGAATGTTTGTATTCTAATAAAAACTAAGGTTGAAGACACTTCAAAGATATATATCAGTGTAAAAATGTTAAAAAAATATCTGTCTTTGTTAGAAATAAATAACATGTCTTTGTTAGAAATAAATAACCTGTCAACTGTAACTTTGTATTAACTTAATTATTCAAAGATAATTTATCTTCTGCAAATGGCTGTCCAAAACAGTTTCAGCCAGGCATCATTTAGTTTCAAAACAGTTAAGATAAATTTGTTATAAATAGACTTGTAAGGTGACAAGAATGGTAAAAAGATAATAAATGTTCTGCATTAAAATGTTTCTATCTTGATTGAGTTTCATTTCATACTACCACAATAATCACTGCAATTGTAAAAGTAATGTCATCTATAACCATCATTTAAATAAAATAAAAAAGTCATCTAAAAGAAAAACTTGTTTCCGAGGCAAGATGTGTAAATTTCCTTCCAGTTATAGCCTTTCACTGGTCTTAGAAAAGCCATGATTTGCATTGTACATGGCAGGTAGTAATACCAGAGTAAACAATATTAATGCAATTCATCTGTGTTGAGTATTATGTAGCAAAACACTAGCTTGCTAGCCCTTGAAAGCCCAAGTATGTCTCTTAATCACAAAATTTGAGAAGACTTGCAATTCTGCATTCCTTGAAAGATTTTAGTGTCAGAGGGGCAGTTATTACATACCATATACTTCTTTGGGTTTCAAATCACCTGTTTTATAATGTATTGAACCTGCTGAGATTTGGCCAAAAGTGAATTATCTATACACAACATGAAAAACTTAGGGTTTGCACTTGATACAAAACAATTACATCACTGATACATTAATATACCCATTGAGACTGTTTCAAAATTGTCAATGTTTAAAAAAACAACACACAATGCTTTTAACTTTTGTCCATGTACATATGTGTAAATGTAGTCATTGAAGAGCTGTCAAGAACTTTTCATCAATATTATTTAGATAGTGTCTGTTTCGATTTCAGGACAGACAAAATTCAAATGACATGCATAGTATTTAATATAGTCAATGCTTGCATATTCAAGCAATCTAGCTATTTGCTGTTAGAGAATTAAAGTACACAGTGGCACTTATTTTGCAGATGAACCCTTATGATCAAGCACATCTATAAATATATGCCAAATAGTAGAAACAGAAAACAGTTCATAAGTTTGAAAAACTTTTATTTTACACAATTTATAGTGCACTGCTTAGCATATATATCGCACTGATATTCCAGTGGAAGAAACACTTCAGGAAAGCACTTGAAATTCTTATTAGTTTTTTGGACAATGTAAATTTACACTGTGAATGTCTACTGATACAAGAATAAGAATATTTCCTTTTACAAATGTAAAGACTTTTAAAATTAACATGAACAAATTATCATAGAGTTATAAATCATATTCTAATTGAAAAATGGGTCAGTGATATCAAAGCTTTGAATGCAAATTTGTGAGCTAATCAATGATTACCTCACAATATTAGTAGTAGATGATATATAATATTTTTGCTATTTCTTTTTCATATTTACTTCATAGTCATTTAATGTCCATAATGACATATGACTATACTGTGATTCCATGAAAATCCTTATCTCTGGTGTGTTTTCTACTTTGGTATATATAGAGTATCTAGTTTTAATACTTAAAACTGCAATGAAATGTGGAAATTTCTCTCTGTTTCTATCATTGTGACATTAACAAGTTAACTAGATTAAGGACTCATAGTGTCAAACACCATAAAATCATACTCTTTTACATTAAGATTTTTGTGCTGGGTGTCATTCATCTTCTTCAGGAAAGTACATTTGACTATTCTCAGTGTTTTATATTAAACATATATTTCACTGTAACTGTGTGTTCTCTGATATCATTCTCAAATTAAGGAACTGGAAGATGGTAGTTGCAATAAAGGTCTTCATGGACAAATTCTCCTTCATCTTTTTCCTTTTTATCTGCAGAATGAAAAATCAATAAATATGTTGTTACAAGTGTAAGACCTGAATATATTTCACTGAGTAAAACACTAGAAATGATATTTACACTTGTCATAATAAGCTGGCCATGATTGACAGAAAATTTAATATTTGAAGTAAATAAACATTAAAGATAAACAACAACACATAATATATAACAGTCAAAAATATTGATCTTCATGACTGTTTTTCATGTTTTATTTACTTATCAATTATCATGCAGTAAAATCCAAAAATTATTTAAATATTTTGATAATTGTTTATCTTTCCAATCTCAACTAAAAATTAATCAATTATTTTACATTTTACCTTTGATGTATAGATATTTCAGGATCATAGGCAGTGCAAACAGTTGATTAATGGTCCATAGTGAACAACTGTTTATTCTATACTTGTCATATACTTCCCTGTCTACACATCTGAAATGGTTTATTTAAATATTATATTTTTTAATTCAATCATAATTTGCTAGATATCACATTAACATGTATATATAATTGAAAAAGGAAGAGAATAAAAACATAAGTGTTAGTGCCTTGATACTATTCTCCATAGTTAGAAATGGAACAAGACAATTAAAGTTTGTATCAATCGATGATCTATCCATCAAATATTTAATTATCAAAACTTTTACTTGGAAACTGGATTTTATTATACTAATGTAAGTAATTGAAATCTTGATAAAATGAAATGGAAGGGAAGAAATATCCGAATTACTGTGCAATGTCCGAATTTTGTATATTAACTTTACTTTAATATACACTAGAATTAAAGTGTTTCTCCATTGATTATTTCAATAAGTTAATATGGTTTGAATAAATTTCTCACATCAGTAGTTTTAAAACAATACTAAAAGCTAAACAACTAGAATTCACTACCTTGACAAAACATCCGAAACAATTGTCACTATCCGAAAAATAAACTAGTTTTATTAAAATCTATAAATCCCTCGTTTTCCGTCAGATAACTGATCTACCTGCATTTTTTGACCCGTGCTTTCCATTCCTTCAAATCTGAAGAGGAGCGAAACAAATTGAACTTCTATATCTCTCGAGTTCTTCGGGTTACCTATATGCGTAACGGTAAATAAGTCTGCCGATGTACCCGGAAGTGGTAAATCGAAAGTGAAAGTAAACGAGACATACGGGCCCTATTCAAAGTTTACATGATTAACAGAGTAACCACTTTTTTTTCGCAACCGGTATTATCCGCAGAAGGCGCGTTGTCCTGTTCACTTCACTAAATAAATAAATTAGTTATTATGTTTGATAATCGCAGTTGTCAACATCAACTGATTTCAAATTTTCACTCTTTAAAGCAATAAAAATGAGACAAAATTATTTTTATTCATTTAGCAAATAAAATATTATTTCTTGAATACATGCTTTTTGAAGTTATAGATAATCATTTTCTGTATGAATTATTATCAAAGATTCTTTAAATCATACTAAATATTACCTCCGAGTCCGTAAAATTAATTTACTTCCTTTCAAAGAATTTTGTGTCACGAGGATTTATTCGATTACTTCTGATCTTATCGTTAAATCTTACTAACTAAAATACCTTACATTATATACCCGTTTATTGTTAATGGCACTCATTTGACCGTTAAAACTTGCACCGGCTATGTTTAATATTCACTCGTACAAATACATTATTCAAACCTTTTTTAAACATTTCGTTTTAATGGTTTCAATGAGATTAGGCTAACAGAAATAAGTTGATTTAGTTGTCATGTCATGAATGATTACAACGAAAATATGAACAACATTTTAAATATTCTAGAACATTACTGAGTCATATTAGCTAAGCTAAAGTAACCACTAGTTTTCTTTAGACAAAAAAGCAACAAAATTATTTACGTCTTAATAATTCCAAGCCCAATTAAATTAAACAAAACCGAAACGTGAATAAAATATTTTATTTGCGTTTATGTGATTATTATGTTTATTTTATTGCTTAAAATATTTTTAGCATGTATGAAATAATGCTATGAATTAATGTTAATTTAAGTTTTTAGAACAGGTATAAAATGTTATCAAAAGTTCTTTAAATCTTACAAATTTTACCTCCTAAATTCCTAAATTAATTTACTTCCTTTCAAAGAATTTCGTGTCACGTGGATTGATCCGATTACTTCTGATCTTTGATAAGTTCATTTTATAAGTAAACAAGAAACCAACATTTTCGACTATAACTGGCGATTGCTTTACATGTATTGACTTTTCGTTTTAGAATTCACCGTATTTTAAGTATTTTTTCTTACTTTTATCATGCAAATGCGGAAGTATATTTTTATCAGCCAAGTTTTCAGAGATCGATTTGTAAGTTTTTGCCCTTATTTTGAAAAATGGAAACTAAACTTATTTGTTCAATAAAAGAAATTAATTATTGTGATATCAGCGAAAACATAAGTACAAAAATAACAAAGGAGAGAAGTGTTTATTACGTTATGACGTAATAGACAGTCTTCCATTTCTCCATAATTATATAATAAATTAAAGTCGTTACTTAATAACCCAGTTACAAGGGAAAAGCACAAATTTGACACCGATTAAGGGGAAATTTATCTATTTGTGTTTAACGGCAACACTGACACATTACTGTCATACCGCGACGAATACTAAACTAAGTAGGCCTAAAAAAGGTACAAGTGAATTAGCAATAACAATTCAACGCATAACGTTGATAGACTGTCTTTATTTCATACCAATTGTGTTTGCGTTTTGATAAGCTTGGCCTAACACCAAATGCAAAAACTTCTTGATAAGAAAACGTCTTGTTTATTTTGACGGAAAGAGTGAATTATTTTATCGTTTTGGACCAAGACTTCACTATTCTTCACCCCGCTTTTTCCCTCCCGTTATATTTTGGTATATATTTTTTTATGAAAAATATTTCCTTTTTTCACTGAGTAAAAACTATGTTTTCGACATTAAACGAACATATTTTATTCGAAAAGTTAATTTCAAAAAGTTATGTTCTTATTTCTAATTATCACCAGTCAAAATATGTCATCAATGACCATTTCTGTTGTTAACTTCGGAATATAAGGTAACGGACTTGAAGTGGTGTAGAATAATTAAGGTTATTGAGCTGACCATAGATAAGAAACAATGCTAAAAATGAAGTATTTTATCGTTTATCTTAAGATTTATGAAAATGTATGTGTAAATATATTACTAAATCAACTGAGAAGATATAAGTAACTTTACATGTATATTTGTGAAACCTGACTTATCAAAACAAAAGGAAGAGAAAATTTAACCATTTTATGGAACTTCATGTGTATAAAAAGTATAAATATTTAGATTTTCACACAGATATAACAAATAACAAATACTGTTCTGTCTTGTAAGTTTGATATAGCATTTAATTAAAATAAAGTTCTTTGAACAAAAAACTTTCATTAATAACTAAATATGTGTTAATGATATACAACACAATGAAAATTTAGGGAACAAATAAATCAATCAAACAAACAGAAAACGACTGATTTACTTGACACGACAAACTTGCATCCGTCAATGTTATTAGAAAGGAAGCGACAACACGTTCAGTTCAACAGAAAAACCTGAATAAAACCCTTCTTGTGTTTATCATTTTACCTAATTTTATTTCTCATTACGTACAAGTATTTGGTACGTATCGATGTAATTTCAAATGATAATGGAAGTAGTTTCATAGTATAGTGTACAAGAATATACTTCCTCTTTCGTTTTCAAAGATACATAACCATTTGCAGAATTTCTTAATTCGTTAAACTTAGGTAACTGTAAATAAATAGAAATAATTGAAAAAACAAAACGTTAGTGTTGTATATTTATGTTTACTTAACATTCATTGTCATATAAAAAATTACCTGCGTTTGTTAATTTACTTCCGTTCAGAGAATCTCTTATCTGTAAACATTATTCGATTGCTTTTGACTTTATCGTAAGGGTATCCGTCTGTGTAAAACAAATACGAATTTACAATTCAGCCAGCTATTATGAACACATTGATTACATTTGTACGAATGCACATTATAAGGTAGTTAAAGTAAAGGGATTGAAATGTATAGAATTGATAACAACTACATGTACTACATATTATATATAATGAGCACTATTAAAAGAGCAAATTGCTGTGAAATCGAGGAGCGAGTGCGGGTTCGTAATTAATAATGACAATATTTCGTACCTGCTATAATGAACAAAACAATTTAATTTTTACATGATTTACAGTCTATCCACCGATTTTCTAGACATCCGGTATTATCCGCATTAGTCGCTCGGTCCTGTTCAATACACATAGTCTATATAGATAAATATAACACGAAAGTATTACTCGATATCCATTTTTCGAAAACGTCCATTGTTTTTGTCCCTATTATACAATTTCGAATAAGGAATAATGATTTCAATTGATACAATGGTGTTGCGTCATTGCTATTGACAGCAAAGTGTTAGATTTATTTTACGTTCAACATTATACGGAATTAAATGTACGTAGTTATGTCTTTGATGCCAAGTCAATATTTATTTCGACACATTTCTCTTTGTTTTTGTGTGTTTGTTTGTTTTTGTATGGTTTTTTTTTTTTTTTTTTTTTTTTTTTTTGGTCGTTTGAATTCAAGTTACATATGTGTTATAAAAAGCAATATTTTTTTTGCTATGTTTAATGTTATGGTCAAGGTTTAGTAGTAGCCGTGTACCACTAATCGGAAATGAAATTTCGAATCCATGGGTTATTCGAAGTCAAATTGTACTCTATCGAATAATCGATATTAATCGATAATCATAATTAATATTTTTTATTATTACATTATATTGTTTTTAACTATCTGGAAATTAGTTTTATTATTAGAGAATCGGATTTGCTGGGAACTGTATAAAACGTGTTAAAGAAGATTATTTCAGTGATTTATTTGTAAAGTGAAAGAAGGTTTTTTGCAATTTTTAAAAAAAAGATAAACTAGAAAGAGATATGTAAAATTAGAGTTCAAAATTGTAGCAAAATTGTTTATAAGCATTATGATAAGTGTTCAATGTGGTACAATGTCATGGCATAACAGTTGATCAACAGTTAACCAGTACGATTCAGAAAATAATAATAGACAGAGGAACTCATACAGGTTACATTAGTATATATAAGATATAATAGTAAATGGATTTTCAATGAGTCAGATGTTCCACTTTTTATTTGGAATTAACATTTTAATGCAAAAAGTATCTTTATATACTGAACGTGTTTGACAATAGTGATATTTATAACTTTACACAATCAAAGAAAGAAATGGAAAAAAATGTATGGAAAAGAGTTTTCCTTAACATACAATATACAGACCTTACAAAACTTACTTAAGCATACATAAAGAAGGAAGATATCAAAAACTTGTAAAAGCTCTTTGACCTTACGAATGGATCAGATGAAGTCATTTATATGACAAGTACATTGTATTATAAGTTACTTCTAACTGCTGATTCGTTGTAATGAAAACAAAGCAATCTCCAATGAAATCGCCAATGAAATGAAAAGTTTAAAACAATAAAAACGATAAATAGTTCCTTAAGCGCACAAACGATGAGAAATTTAAAAGTGAATAATTATATAATTTATGCCGACGACGATGGAAGTAAGGAACTGATTTTGATTACAAGCCCCATCTTGTTCAGTAGAAATGAAACCGAAACTGGTATAAACAACTTCTTTTTTTTTGTTATAATGAAGAAAGGTTTCCTTTCTCTTAATATCAGTTCATTTTGTCTATTTATCATATTTGCCATGTTTCCATTGCAAGTTATATGACAGTAATAATGTTTGTTGATAATCGTAGTTGTCAGCAACAAACGATTTAAAATTAATTTCCCTTTTCACTTTATTAAAGCAACGAAAAGCAGACGAAACCATTTTGATTCAGTTAGCAAATAAAATATAAATTTCTATATAAATGCATGTAGAAGTTATATATAACTTTTTTGTATATTTTTTTTATCAAAGATTCTTAAAATCATATTAAATGATACCCCCAATCCGTAATATTGATTGACTTCCTTTCAAAGAATTTCGTGTCACGAGGATTTATTAGTTCACTACTGTCTTATGATCTTATTGTGATATCTTATAAGTAAAATATCATGCACAGATTCATTGT